GGGGGGTGATTTCTCGCTTTCTGTCTCTGTCTGGCAAGCACACATGACATGTAGCAAAAAACTCTCAAAAAAAAAGAAAGAAAAAAATGGAGAAGCACTAAATGATTATTTTTTAAGAATTATTTAATTTTATTCATTGTCATTATTTTTATTTTTATTATTTTTTTTGAAGCTGACCAGAGAAAGAGAGAGAGAGAAGGAAAGTGAAAAAGCAAGTTGCCAGGTGTGGGATTTGAACCATAGTCAGCCATGTGGGAGTCCAGCTGCCTTAACTACCATACCACCTGCCAGCCCCTAAATGATTTTATTTCTTTAAAGAATCACTTAATTTAACTTTATTTATTTTAATTTGACCAGGGAGGGAGAGGGAGAGAGGGAGAGAAGGAGGGAGGGAGAGAGAGAGAGTAAGAAAGTAAGCCTTCAGGAGGTCCCGGACTGGAAACGGTCCGCCCTGTGCGAGTCCAGCGCCCTTAACTACCACACCACCTGTTGGCCCATAAATGACTATCTTTTAAGTCAGTCATAAACTATGGATTTCAGAGAGACAAACTACCCTTTTCAAGAATAAGGGAAAGGCAATACTACTTATTCTTCTTGCCTTTGAAGACAGGCATTAATTGCTACCATCCGTCTAGTTTTGCCTACAGGTAAACAAATGGACAAGCTGCTGTATTTAGGCAAAATGCACTCATATGGAAAATAAGTCTTTAAAAGATACTTGTTCAGTTTCTCAAGAAACATTACATGCGTGCTACTTCCTATAAATAACCATTCTGATTCTCCCCTTGGAATTTATTACTAGTCTTTAAGGAAAAAATACACTAATACATTGTACTTCCAATGTTGTTTTAAAAACAATGAAGATGGATAATAAAGAGGAATAAAGATGTTATTTTTGGGGGCCAGCAGATGGCATAGTGATTATGCTGCTGGACTCCCACATAGCTGAACACAGTTTCAGTTCTGGACCCAGTGGCTTGAAAACCCCCCCAGGTGGATGAGCAGCTGGCGTAACGGCTATGTCACTGGACTCCCATATAGTCAACTGTGGTTCGAGTCCCAGACCTGGTGGTTTAAACTCATGCTGGGCATGTGTGTGTGCATGCCCAAGATGCCAAGAGCAGAATGGAAGAGAAGGGATTGGGGTGTGGCCATCCCCTCTGGGGGGTGATTTCTTGCTTTCTGTCTCTCTCTGTCTTTTTGGTGAGTGCATGTGCCCTATAGCAAAAACCTCTCCCCAACAAAAAGAAAAAGAAAATCACACCAGGTTCATGTGCATGTGAGCCCAAGATCCCAGTAGGAGAGAAGGAACTGCAGAGTGGTCATCCCCTTGAACGGTGATTTCTCACTTTCTCTGTCTCTGTCTCTGTCTCTCTCTGGCAAGTGCATGTGTCCTACGGGGGGGAAAAAAAAAAAAAACTCTTAAAAAAAAAAAAAAGATTCATCTTTTAAGATGGGTTAGGGGCCAGTCCAGTAGCCTAGTGGTAAGGGGAGCTTGATCCCACATGGATGACTATGGTTTAAATCCTGACCCCAGCAAAATGAAAAACATGCTAGGCTCATGTGCCTGAGTGTGCAACCTCCCAACAGGATGGAAGAATGGAGAAGAAGGCATTGCAGCATGACTGCAATCCACTGGGGGGAGTTGTTTTCTCTCTCTCCTCCCATCCTCTCTCTCTGGCAAGCGCATGTGACCTCTAGCAATTGAAAAAAGGAGGAGAAAAAAAATGGGGCCAGTTTGTATTGTGGTGGCTAAGGTGGCTGGATCTCGCTTGGTTGGGATACATACATAGTTCAAATGCCAGGTGCCTTGAGAAACATGCAGCATATGTGCGCATGCCCAGAATTCGAGAGGACCTTGCAACTTGCTTTCTCTCTGTCTTTCTGGTCAAATTAAAATAATAATAATGATGGTGAATCAAATCAAATTAAATCATTCTCTAAATAATAATAATAAATTTTAAAAGAGAAAAAGTCACTAGAAAAATTATTGGGTCGTCAGGAAAGTCAAGACGCATTTTTGCAAAGAAAAACAGAAATATATGACGTGACTTCCCCAACTTAATAATAGGGAGCTGACATGTGGCATGGAGGTTAAGGTGCTGGAATCCCACATGGCGACTGAGTGGTTCAAGTCCCAGACCTGACAGTTTGAAAATCATGCTGGGTACATGTGCCCAGAATCCTAGAGACTGGGATTGCGGTGTGGTCATCCCCCTTGGGGATGATTTCTCACTTTCCTTATCTCTGTCTCTCTCCATCGAGTGTCCACACTCCAAGCCAAAAAGGTTTAAAAAAAGAAAGAAAGAAAAATGAATAGAAGAAACAAATCTTCAAAATAGTTTGATCTAAATGTATCTACAAAAACAGAACTTGGAAAAAATATTAACAAAAGAAGAACTGCAGTGGTAGAACTTTTAACAAAAGCCAAACATGGGGCAGGCTCTGTGGCTCAGTAGTTAAGAAACCCAATCCCACGTGGCTGACTGTACAGCTCAAATCCTAACTCTGGAGGAGGCTTGAAAAACACAACAGGTGTGTGCGTGCATGCCAAAATCCCAGTAGGATGAAGAAATGGAGAAGGAATTGTGGCATGACCATGCCCTAGCAGGAGAGTGCTTTCTCCCGCTCATCTCTCTGTCCCTCTCTCTGACAAGCACATAGACTCACATGCACACATGCATGCATAAATAAGTAAATAAATGCCTAAAATGAAGAAATGAATCAAGAAATCCATTCTTAATTAAAAATTTTACATGGATGACCCTATAAAAAATAATTTTAGGTATATAAAATTTTACATGGATGCTTTCTCTTCTATTTTCTCTCTCATACATGTGCACATGATCTCTATTGTGAGTAAAAATAAGCATAAAAAAAAGCTAAGGCTTTTCTATATTTACCTTTTTTCTTTCCTTTTTTGAGAGATCTTTGCTCTAAGGCACATGCACTCACCAGAGAGACAGAGAGAAAAAGTGAGAAATCACCACCCCCGGCGGGGGGGGAATGGTCATGTCACAATCCCTTCTCCTCCATTTTCCTCTTGGGATTTTGGGCACACATGTACACATGCCTGGCATGAGTTTCAAGCCACCACGTCCAAGACTCAAACCATGGTCAATTACATGGGAGCCCGACACCTTAAGCACTACACTACCTGCTGGCCCCTATATGTTTATTTTTAAAAATAAAAAAAATGGGACCAGCAGTTGGCGTAATGGCTATGTC